CCCCAAAACCCCAAAACCCCATAGAGCATAAAATAAAGTAATAATTGAGATAGTTAATTCTAAAATTTCTAAAAGTTTTTATAATACCTATAATTATCAATTAAAAATATCAGTAATTCATAACACTAAGACACTGGCAGAATTAGAATTATTCTGGGTTTTATTGATCATTTAATCGTACTAATCTTGAAAGAAACCGCATTTATCCTCAGACAGTAATCTGTATTGCTTGTAAACCTAATCTGGCTCGAACATTGATGATGTTAAATTGATATCACTGACGTTCTTGTGAGTTTGAACTTTTTAAAATCGTTTGTATGCAATTATTGACCACTTTATTGACTAGGATAAAATAACCATCAATAAAAGCTCTGAAGAATTTATTATCAAATTCATGATTGATTGGTTTACTTCGTAGTTTTGAAAATATGTTTAGGAATCTACCTCTAACATAGTTACTAAAACAATCTCAGGACCCAGCTTAATGAAAATGGCAATGATTAAAATCTAGAAGAATTTACTTAGTTATCTTTTGTTCCTCTGCCATATCTCTATCTCTTCGTCATTTAAATGAGGTTTGTAATTATCTATTAGTTTATCAAAATACTTGTAGAAAAAGGCATTCAAGAAGAAATAGGTAATTACTATACAAAAGCAAATAATATTCTGAACACTGAATAGAACTTTATCAAGTGTCACAAAAAATTTATTGTATTGATTTATATCCATAAAAATAAACGCAGTTGCAAATCCAAGTGCCATTACCAGATAAAAAAGAATAAAACTTAATGACAATGTAATAAGAATACTCTTCTTCTGATTTTTATAAGAATATACTATGTTGATCCATCTTTTGGTATTGACTATGATTGCAAAATGGAAGAATTATTATCCAAGAATCTATGAGAACATGTACAATTTTCCACAGTTTGACTGTTTTAGAACAAATGATTAAAGACATTGAAGCACATACTCTGGCTATGATTCAACCTGAATTATTGCTACAACTCTAATAATAATTTTCCCTACGACACCAATAATTATAATTAGGAACATTGCGTAGACGTGCAAGTCTTTCTTTTCTTTGAATTACTGTGTGTATCAACTTACATAATAACTGAAAAATGAAAGATTCACAAGGAATAAGCAAATAAAGATCCAATCCATAATGTCATATATTTCCATTATCATTTCTAAATATCTAAAATAATATTATAAATTAGTCTTTATTATTATTTCTATTGATAAATTATTATAACTCATTAGCGGGGTTTTGGGGTTTTGGGG